GTATATGTATATATATATATATGTATATGTATGTATAAAATGGGTGTATGCATTGCTTATGCATCTAGCCCCAGGAGTTAAAGCGATCGCTCAGATTTTTTTAAATTGGAAGTTCCATAAAATGTTATGAGCAATAAACGTCTTACCTGTTGTAGATAGCCTTTTGAATGACCTCTTTTTAGAGAAATAAAGGTCACTTCTGACCAGACTGATGAGCTATTTGAATGAGGCCAAGAACAAATTGGTTTATATTGTTTTACAATAAGATTATCATCTCATTAGAATTAAACTCTTTGTTCAAACCGAGGTTCTAAGAGCTATCTACAGCACGCAAGATACTTATTGTTAATATTATTTTTTTTACAAAACCTTACTTTAATAGATTTGGACCATTGCTTTAAACAGGAACAAATTCCTAACTTTAGTTTCTGCTTCACTTGTGCAAGGAAGATGAGACTTTGGATACGGCTTTGGGATAAGTTATGAGTTTATTTTTGATTGTGTGTTTGAGGTGAACCCTTTAAGCCACCGTTCATTTTAAAGAAAAAGTTTATTACCTCAGTTTACAGTCTAACTAAAAGCCAAACTGCAACACTGGTTTAGTTCTATAACAAATAAATCTATTTAATTTAATCTGAATTTAACTGCACAGACATCTGGTGGCAGCATCAGTCAGAGAACCAGATGTTTAAGGTTGTTTCTTTATCATCTTTATAAAACACACTATTGTGAAGTACAAATACAACCAGGATTGACAGCCTGGATAAATATATACCCTTTTTTCCCCTTTCACTGGATTAAAAACAGCAGGTTTAATATGAACCCAATCTGTTAACACTAAATATAATTAGAAATATATTCCATGATGTAAATAAACAGATCAGTGAATGAACAAAAAAATATGGAGATTACTTGTTAGGATCAAAACTATAAAGAGCTCATAACCTTATGCTTTGGTCATCATTTACTCTGTGAAGCGGTTTAAAAGAATAAAATCAGCCATGGTGTGTTTGTGGAGTATTTTAATCTTTGCTTGACTTCACCTTGTAAATAAAATTGAGAAATTATAAGAAAATCGACACACCGAGCATCCAGGCCTTTAACGGTTTAAGCTGCCCCTTTAAACCGCTCTTTGCTTTTATACGTGCTGCAGAAGCAGCTAAAATATATTTACAAAAAGTGCAGGTCAATTAGTGTAATTAGTCATGCTCTTACCTCCCATTAACTAACAGAAGAGGCCTCTGGGTAAGTAAACTCCAGAGGATAGCAAATTAAACGAGGCTGGTAAAGTGTTTTCATACTGTGCAGCGTCGTGAAGGCGGTGGAAACTGATGCTGGGGCTGTATATGCAAGAAAAGTGTGTGATGGAAATATCTAATAACCGTGTACAACACAGGATCCAGAGGATAAGGTGTATTTTATTTTTCACAGATGTTTTATTAACAAATATGCAGTGTAATAAATCAATAAATGAGACCTTTTGTATTACGGCTCGGTCACGGATGGTTTCGTTTTTAGCAATGGTGCCCATCGACAGAAAAAAAGGGGGTGATGATGTTTATATCCATGTCTTTCTTTTAGCTGTTCTCTTCTCCAGGGGTCGCCACGCCAAGCAAACTCAGAAGAAACACTTGGCAATTGATTTACGCTCGATGCTCTTCCTGACTCAACCTGGACTTGAACCTGCAGCCTTAGGGTTTTGAGACTGCAGCACTGACCGCTGAGCGACCACACCCACATGGTTGTTACCAAATCATCTCATGAACCTCGTCACGTATTTAACAAAATGTTCAGCGCATAACAGATTGAAGATGGCTACGACTGATTACTTTTAGAGGCTTGGTTCAAGATGGCCGCCACATCCAGTACTAATCCATAAACATTCAAAAAATAACTACATTTGATAAATGTTGACCTAATATTTGGTGTTGTAGTAGCTGAGACTGATCCCTAATGCATACTCTGAGCACTAATTAATCAAGCTAGATCTTCGCTTAAAATGTTGCCAACTATTTGGCGTCAACACTGCGTCTGTTAGCAAAATATCTCATGGATCACCAGATAGATTTTAAGGAAGCCTTCAGAAAATCATCACTGGATGTACATCTACAACGGATTAACTTTGGAAGTAAATCTAACTCAAGACGGCCATCACAGCTAACGTTACCCAACACAAAGATATGTTTTCTTTCAGCTGCTCCGTTTTTGCAGGACAGCGACTGAACTCGCACAAAAGTGTTAGAAATTGTTTTACGCCGGGTGCCCTTCTTGATGCAACCTGGACTTGAACGTGCGGCCTCAGGATTATGAGACCACAGCGCACCAACACCAAAATGACAATAAAGTCTGGCACTATTACAGCAATTAAGCTCAAATTTGAGCTGGTAGTAGCTGAGAGTCATTCACAAACACTGGGCACGACTTCTCATAATATTGCATGAGATTGTGCACATTTTTTTCAAGGTTTAACCAAAATGGATACAACGCACTCTTCAACATATGATGATTTTAGTGTAAAACTGAAGAAAGTGAGGGGTGGTGTTGTATTCCTTCAAGGGACGCTTCAGTGTTTTATGAACAATGCTGGTGGAGCCGTCTTATCTGAAAACCATCCCTGGATACGTTACCTTCTATATCTCCATATGACACATGCAACTTTTAACAGCATCTAATGAAAGCTTTTTACCGCTGACAGCCCGGATATCTCTGCATCCGTTTCCTCTTCCTTTATCTGCCTTTCGTCAGTCTCCAGAGTGCAACACCTAATACACTTTATTTTCAGAAAAATCCCGTCTGAGGCTGCAGCTTTTCACGTTTGAGCTAAAAAACAACGCTGACAACCGTTTATCTGATCTATTTCACTCTTGGTGGGTGTGTGTTGCCCAACACTTTAAAGGCTCCAGCTTTGAGTTTAAGAGGTTTGCTTTGGATGCGTTTCCACAAGAATCCTTCAGACCTCAGCAGGCAGAGGCTTAAAGAAGAGAAATTCTGTGTTTTGAAGTAATAAGATAAGATGAGGGCTCCTCCGAGCATCAACTTGGAAGAAACTCAACTTTTTTGTTTGCCTAGATTTCCCTCAACGCGGTAAACGAAAATGAACTTAAGACAAACGCACCGTGATTGTGACCTTTATTTCTGTGCCACACATTTACAACGAAACAACACATTTTCTAAACAATAAACCGCACACACTATGAGAAATCAAACGAGGCCCGGTTTTTAAGAAAAATAAAAGCAACTGAGCTGGTTTGTCTCGAACCAAAACAAGATTTTCACTTGGCGCTTTTTTTTAACAGTCCAATCCCATCCACATTAAATTAATCAGCGCAGTACCATCAACTTTGGACTTGTGAGTCCAGGCCGAGGGTCCGCCTCGTCCTAATCTGCCAGGCTAATAACCAATTACGTTTCAGGTTATGGTATATAAACTGATCCAACGCTGTAATTGCTCGCGTGAAACTGAATGGATTCTATCCAAATCAAATGAGACCTGTTATATTGTAATTGAGAAATTATTTCATTACCTTTAAAAAAAAAAAAGGCTCTGCAAAGGACATTTAAAAAAAACATAATAAACTTTTTTTTCTTTAAAAAAAAAAAGATTACCTTGTCTCACACATACACTACAAATAGAATAATTAACCCCGTATTCAAACAAAAATACATTACCGTATTTTTCAGACTATAAGGCGCATTTAAGATCCTTTAATTTTCTCCAAAATCAACCCTTATAATCAGGTGCGCCTTACGTATTAATTCTGGTTGTGATTACTGACCTCGAACCGATTTTATGTGGTTATTGTGAATGAGTTGAATAAAGTTTGACTTATCTGTTTTGTTTCGCTTAATGCGCCTTATAATCCAAAAGATACATCAAAGAGAATGAAGAGCTAACACGAACATTTCCTATCTATATGTAACAGACAGCAGTCGAGGTGCGAGCCACAGAGTTCCCAGTGTGAAGGTAAAATACAGCTAGAGGTGACAACAAATCAACTGCAAACTGTAAAAAGAATCAGCTTATAAGAAAACGTACGGCTCGAACCACTTTTATATTGAAGATAATAACATTCATCTCACTTTTTATATACTCAATTGTGCATTCGAAGTAAGATAAGAAACTTTCTGAATGTGTGAAGAAAACCTCTAAATACTATTTTCTTTTTTCCACTTTGGAATGTTTTCTATTAAAAAAATCACCCTTTTTTAATGATTTAATATCGAGAAGCTCACAGAAATCCTAATAGAATGGGTTGGCACTTAAAAGCCATCAGCATTAGGGACTGCCAGCGTGCTGTAGTGAAACCGAATTTACATGGAGACGAGTCCAGTCCGTAAAACGAGCCAGCCGTGGTACTTTTTGTTGCCAATTTCACTTGAGGACTTGCAGATTAAGGTGCTTTGTTGGACACAACTGTAGTCCAGGATAAAATAAGGCATCAAAATCTTTTAACAACTCTGCTTTTGCATTATTTTTGATAAAATAAAAATAAAAAGGTACTGTACAGAAATCGATTCAAGTTCATCCAAAAGCCTTACTAGTTTTCCCCCCCGTTTGTTTAATCGTAATCACTTTATCTCCAGGAAGTAGTCAGATGGAAAACTATGTCAGGAGCACCAGAATTTTCATCTCTTTCTACTTTTCTATTAAAAAAGGTATAATCTATTTCTAAATATCTCTCATTCGCTTCATCCTAATGTTGACATGATTATTTATATTCATCCATAAGAAAAAAAAAAAACATGGAGACGACTGCTTACATTGCATCAAATTACTTGTTAGCTTTGTGTTTTCTGCAAAAACCCACTTAAACATAAGCATGCTGTAAAAACCGTCACATTAAAAGGTGCCCTGTAGAAAATATATGAATCAGTCTGGTCTTTTTCCAGTGATCTCTTGTTAGAGGAAGGTATAAAACACGTCGAGTTATTAAGTGCCCCATTCACGATTATGCAATAGCATCTTTACTCTTGAGCTCAAAATGGGAGAATGTGGCCTCGTTTCCTGCTTTCAGCATAATTAAATCACTGGATCCTCACAGAAGGAAGGTTAAAGCTTCTTAAAAAAAAAAAAAAAAGTGCAGTTCATATTTTTTCCTATCGGCTTGATTATATCTTAACAAATACAGTAAGAAGTTATTTTTACACAACTTGTTCATTTGCTTTTCTGCAGAGAGAAAAAAAAAAAAAAAAAAAACCCCGGCAGGATAAAATTTGATTTCTGGTTTCTGAATCGGTGTTCGTTTACTTTTTACATGATTTTATGATACAAATCAAAAGAAAACGCCGACAAAAACGAACATTCGTTACAATCGTAACATTATTATCCAATATGACAATTCTTTCCAAATACAGTGTTGCCATCAAGATTGAATGATAATGCTCCATTTGCACTGAAGAAAAGTATTTCAGCAGGCGGCGCACTCATTAAGGACAGACATGGAGTGAAGCAGTCATTTCTCCCTGTAATACAGCAAATATGCCTTCAGCGACTCGGGCAGCGGCAGAGCCAGTATTTGTTCTCGCAACACGTTCACGTGCTTGATGATTTCAATGTTGCCAATGTCTCTTTCCTCCTCCTCATCCTCCTCCACCTCCACCTCCTTGTGTTCTTCCTCTGCGTGCTCCTCCTCTTCGCTCTCCACCATTTGCGGCATGAGTTGGTTGCCTACCAAAACGTACGCGTTGATGCGGCGCCGCCTGCAGCGCCTGCGCTTGCGTTTCTGGGGAACCCTCTGCACCGTCCCCTTCCCCTGGCTGTCCTGACCCGTCAGGTTCCTGAGAGTGCGGCGAATGTAGACGCGGGAAAGTTCCTGGAGGCTGCGGACCGTCACCGGGGCTGAGGACAAAGAGGGATGACACAGACCTTCAGGGCAACGCGCCACAAAAAGAAAAATAATCCACACTAATGCAACGCTGATCCCAACTAGGTCAGCACGCACAACTGAGGAGGTGTGACAGAAACCTGAGAGCAGGTATCTCAAGGAAGGAGAGAACTATAAAGCAGCTGCAAGCAGATGGGACAAATGCTGCTGAAGGACTTATCTCTTCAAATCTCACATGCAAAAAAAAAGTACTGACAGTCTTTATACTTCAAGACGAGTTAAGCACAACATGACAAACTACTTTTTGTGTTGAGGCGGTGTAACTCACGCAGCTGGACAGTGTCGGGCTTCTCTCCGTCTGCTCTGCTCTGCTGAGCCAAGGGGGCAAAGGACACCGCCAAGATGTTTTTGCTCTCCCATGTGCTCTGGCCAGTCCTGGTTATCTGGGTCAGCTGTAATAACAGGACAAATAAAAGTTAACACACACCACGACACAAAACGATGGAGTAAATCATGTAACTGGAGCCAAGTACAATAACGCACTCTAATTTCCTCGTCCATTTGTACAGTTTATTATTTCAATTCATTTTATATATATAGCACCGAGTCACAACAGAAGTCATCTCAGGGCACTGAACAGAAAAGTTCATATATAAAAATAAGTTAATAACATTAATTATCTGAAGAGACTGCTTCGAGTCTGACTCCATCACAGAACTCTCATCTTGAGCAAGCATGACGGCGACAGTGGAAAGGAAAAACTCCCTCATGAGGAAGAAACCTTTACCAAAACCAGGCTTTGGACAAGTGGCCGTCTGCTTCGACCGGATGGGTTTGAGAGGAACAGGAAGGAGGAACAGATACACAATGGCAGGTTGAGAATCACAAGAAAAGGTAGAAATAAAGTCATGTGAAAACTATTCAATTGCAACAATAAGAAATTAAGTGAATTTGTCCTCCAGTAGTCTAAGCCTATAGGAGCATAACAAGCCAGCTCGAACTATATCATTTACCAATAAGTAAAGTCTTAAGCCCAGTCTTTAAACTGGACAACGTGTCAGCCTTATGGACAGAAACTGGAAGTTGGTTCCACAAGAGAGGAGCCTGATAACTGAAAGATCTTTCTCCCATTCTGCTTTTGGAAACTCTAGGAACCACAAGTAAGCCTGCAGTCTGAAAGCGAAGTGCTCTGTTAGAAAAATATGGAACAATAAAATGTTGAATATAAGATGGAGCTAGGTTGTTGAGGGTTTTGTAGATTAGAAGTAAGATTTTGAATTCTGTTCTGAATTATTATGTTGATGTGTTTATTTCAGGATCAAATCTTTGAGGAAATTCTTGGGGGAGGGGTGTAGTTTCAGTCCGACTTTTGATATATTCCAGCATTAAATTGTAAAAAAAATAAGTGTGTGTGCACAAATAAGAGATGCTTACATTTTTTTCATACTTGTGACAGGCACATGCAGCAAGAAGAACGCAAACCATTCCTGCATGTGTTGCTCCATCATATAGGAGTACCATCAACTTTGACACTTTAAATACAAATTCAAAGACACTTCAGACTTACAAATCTGACTGGATGAGGTCGAAAGCTGATTGCAAAAGCTGGAAAGCCTTAGCAACTGTTTTAGCGTGACAATAAACAACTGTGTCATCAGCATAGAAGTGTAAGGATGCATCAGGGATGCTCTGACCTACGTTACCTATGTAGATTGCAAAAAGGGTGGGTCTTAAGACTGAGCCTTGTGGTACACCATTGTTAACTGTTAAATAACTGGAGGAAACACCATTATGTTGAACACATTGCCTCCAATCTGAAAGATAGTTAGAGAATCAACCAATGGTACAGTATGATCTGAGAAACCAATTTCTAAGAGCTGATGACAGAAGATGTCATGATCCACAGTGTCATCATAGTGTGCATTTTAGTTTTTTTGAACCTTTTGGTGAATGTCAAAGGTCTACAAATCCAAAAGTCAAAGTCCAAACTTGACATCCAAATCAATAACCTTTGTTGCTCTATGGATCCTCAACAGAGGTTATGTATCAATGTCATTGCTCTGTCTGGCAACTTACAGAGTGGTAAAACACTTAACATGGCTCCCACTGCTAGTCTTTAAACTGGGAGCGTAACAAAGGTAAAATTATCAGAAATTAAAAGATGTTGATCTTTGCAATCTACCAAAGGATAGATAGATGACAATTTGACCAGAAATCAAGTTTTCAGATATTTTTATGTACTTGTTTATGCAGGAAACTTAAAGCAGAGTTTGACAGTTTTAAAAGTCTGGATTTCGTTTGAACATCAAGGAGGGATCTTTTAATTTTTTTAATTGAGGGTAAGAAGAACTCTGTTGGACATACCAGTTGTAAATGAGCAGATTTAAAACAGTTTGTTCTATCTCTCTCTCTTTGTGCACAGATATTTTTCTTTAGAAGCTTACTTTTCTTTAAATTCCTAGCAAAGAATGACTGATTTGATTACTGAGCATTACTTATCATATCATTCAAATGTCACTTGATATTAGCTTGATAAATGAAAAGCACGGCCTGTTGTATATAACAGATATAAGACAACTCAGGCCATTATATGCAATTATTAATCAAAGTTCTTGTAAAACCATCAACCTACAACAATCTCAAGTTAACATTTAGAATAATGACATGTAGATGGAGGCATAGCTATTAAACCTATAGACATCTCACTTTATTTAAACACACATTCATAGTGCTTTTGCACAGAGGCACACAGACAGTAACCTGCCTGCAGACTCCAACATGCAGGATTTGCAGATGCCTGATTTTACCTTTTCTGGCCCAGTTATAGCCACCGCATGCCCCTAACAGCACACAGCATGTCCATTTTTACCAGCTGATAGAGGAAGACACCATGTCAGTCCATAATGGCACCCGTGAGTGTGATTCCTCATACTGACATCCAAAGAAATGAAAAGAGGGACGTACAGATGTTCCAGCTCTAGTAATCGAACCGTCTCTGAAGATCCAGACAGTATATCAGCATTGTTACAAAGATTTTCTACCTCCTCTCCTTTCTCTGCCTTTTTTTCCTCCCATTTTTGTCTACTCTGGAGAGTAATTTCTAAAAGCTCTGAAGGGAGATGGAGAAGATGAAAATGTCGGATCGGTGCTGATGAAAGGCCACAACAAAGAAGGATGCGTTTTGAAGATTATTCCCATTACCATGGACACAGCCTGTGTAAATTTCTGTTGTAGTGCTTTCAAGCTTTTAGTTCTTCCAAAGATCTGCACTCTAAATTATATTTAATCATTTTATCGATGCTCACAAGGGCGCAGGCTGGTTTTATCCTTAACACTGCTGTGCGCCGTCTTTGAAAAATATTATGAGGATTGATTTGCTTTAAGGCTCTTGTACACCCCTGGTGATTACCAGAACAAAACAAAATATCTGCTGTAATCAAAGTTAAGTTTTACTTCAGCTTCCTTTAAATTGTTCAAAAGCTTTGAGACCACCAGTCTGTCACAATCCTTTTCCTTCTTACCACCAACACACAAAAACATCCTCGATGCCCTCTCGCATGCCCCACAGTGTGTCCACACGCACACATCCAGCATTTTAAATTAAACATTATTTATGCAGCACCGTGTGCGCTTCGAACCCAGCTACTTAAATCCAGGGGCAGTTGAGGCTCAATAATGCATGCGAGCAGTTGCATAACCAGTCTTGTGGGTCAAAGCTATTCCACCTTGTTTTCCTCCTATGTTTTGAATTTTGAATAGCAATCAGGACGCGCGTCTGTTCCGTGCCAGCCCGATAGCTCGCAGCGCTTACCTGATCCTCTATAGGCATCACCAGTATGCCTCCAATTTTGAGCAGTACTTTCATGTAATTTTCATGGTCTTTCTGCACTCCGGCGCCACAATAAAGGCGATCGTATTGGTGACTGTCTGTTGAGATTTCAAGGCAATTCCCCACCACAAAGACGGGTTCACAGAATTCAAACCTGTGGAAAGACAAATAATGGAGATATTAAAAAGAAGCAGTGGAAAACATGTTTATCATACCATCGGTCTCTTCATTACAATTGTGAGCTACAGGAGAGTTGGGGAAAGTCACATAACCATTTTTTTCCATATCCCCCCGCAGCCTGGAAGCATTTAAAACATTACCTGAAGCTGCTGGGTGTGAGAATGTAATTGTATGGATGATAATGGACGTGTGATGGACGCAGCTTTTGGAAATTGAGATTGGAGACCATTTGTAAACAGAATTGGTAATTGTCTGGAGAAGCCAGCAAGTCTGAGAGCTGATGACATTTCTTGCATGCATTGGGCACCAACATGATAAATACAACATGGGAATAAGGAAGAAGAGGTGGATTTTAACAGGTGAAAGAAAAAAGTTGAACAAAAACGTGATTTAAAAAAGTGTGACTTTTATATCTTGGATAAAAACGTCATTCCAAAATTCAAAAATCCTAGACTTTCCTATTCACGACCAAATTAAGAACGACATATTTCTGGAAATACACAGTTTGATATTCACTAGTGTTTACTTCCTAAGCCAACACTTATTTAGCTAACCTGTTTATGCAACTGGTGTAACAGTGAAATACAACAATACAGATCAATATCACATGTCCCAAAATCCACATCCATTTAGCTACATCCAACACGTCTCCTAAGTGGACCAGTAATGGAGCAGATCCAATGCTGAGATGGTTTTATTTACTGTCAACTCATGCAGGACACTTAAAATCCAAAACTGTGAGTCAAAGGCAAAGCAGAGTATTCTTTATTTGCCTGGTTTAATATAAGCTAAATTATGCTCACTTCATGACCCATTTCTCTGTAAAAAGGCCAAAAATAATGTGTGAAAATACCAGCCTGCTTTTAAGGTTGTTGAGTGGATATCTACACTTCACCAAACTTGGTGTAGAATATTAGATATACAGTGGGTGCAAAGATTTGCAGATACTGCCATGAGGAAAATATTATACTGTGCATACATATACTGTAGAATGCAGTCTACGTGGTCTATGGCTACATATAGAATACAATGCAGACATGTTTCTGTTTTTAGTATTCTACCTCGTTTCATAATATAGCTTGATTTTATATCACTACTTTCATTGACTTTTTGTTCTATATGCATCTCATGGCTGTTTGTTGTTGTGTGTGCCTTTTCTGTGGTTTGTCTAAAACAGGTCTCTCTTGAAAATGAGTCCTTGCGACTCAATGAGACTAAACTGTATAAATAAAAATTGAATGAAAAATAGAATAAAAACACTCATTCAACCAGTAATAGCAGTTAAATTTACTTTCACTACACTTTTATTGAAACTACTTCTCATTTGAGGAATGCAGGGTACAGGTTAGGAATTTATCGTATTTTATCCAACAATACTTCGACATGTGATCGAACGTGTAACGGTCCAACTGAAGGACAACCACTTTACCTCCTGAGCTATGGCCTTTCATTACTGCTCATTTCTGTTTAATTTGTACACATGGACAGTAATCCGTTTTAAGAGTAGATGTGTGGGTGGTTTTGTTCTGGGAAAGTTCTTGGCCTGGACCGTTTGCTAGGCAACAGCCCGAGACTCAAGGGAGTTTAGAGGGAGACACATGTAACCTTCGGAGAAACGGCAAACCGTTTTCTTACAGAATGCATTGGACAAAATCGCATTTGCCAACGTAAAATATAATTTGAGGACGTGTACTCACTTATCAAAGTTATCACTGTTCTTGATGAAATCATCCAGTTTCTGTCTGGCATAGTCAACGACATCCTTGTGCAGCTCCACTCCATGATTTACGCCATATGGCCCTTTGAAGGGAGGAAAAAAAGACAAAAACATGCATGCAATATTTTATTTAAAGTCTGACGCATCGTTAAAAATCCTAATTTTGCCCAAGAGTTCTGCTTTTGTATGTAAACCTTTCAATAAATTTGTTTAAATTTAAGAAAAAAAAATCTCTATACATGAATATTACCTATGATGAGGCCAACCATTGTGCTCAGGTAGCCGGTTCCGCTGCCTAGGTTAAGGAAAGAAAGTCCTGGCTGCAGTTTAAGTGCCTCCATCACCTCGGAGTATATACATGGAGCAGACAAGTGGATGTTTCCGTGCTTCCACGCCAAGTCTTTGTAGGCACTGTCCCGATAGCCGTCCAGGTAGTAGTCGCCGCGGTCTATGGCTCGAAACGCCTGCTCGACCTTTTCTGTGCGAATGTACTGAGCCTCCTTAAGGTTATCGATAAGATCGTCGTTGTCCTCCCCGGCGCTCACAGCTCCCCCCATGGCAAAAAGAGAAGAGACACACAAGGGCTGAACTTGTACACCTACTGAGCAAATCCTCCGTCACAGTGGCGTGGACATGTAGGCTGGTGGAAGGACCCTGCCAAAGTTCGGTTCAGATGGTGTTCATGCCCAAACAGGAAGTGACCTAGAAAAATTTGTAACAAGTTAGAGAAAAACTATACGTGAGCGGGATCACAGAGTCTGTTCAGTTCTACAATTTGGATGCAGTTTGAATATGTCGATTAAAGTAAAGGTTTATTAAATCCCAGCTGAGACTGTAATTATGAACAAGAATACCAAATATGGCAGATTCCAGTGGTTCCCAACCCAGGTCCTTGAGGAACAACATCCTGCATGTTTTAGTTGTTTCTCTGCTCCAACACACCTGATTCAGTGATTTAACTACTTCTTGCTATTACTTCGTGTTTAGCAGAAGCCTTAATCACTTCATTTACATCAAATTTGTCAAAACAACTAAAATATGCAGGATGGCGTTCCTCAAGGACCAGGGTTGGGAACCATTGGATTAAACATCCATCCACAATACAGCAATCAATGGCACAAACAAGCAAAGACCTTGTATAACATTTGACATTGAATTGCGACCATGACCTTCAAGCTGGAGGGATGAAAAATGTAGTGGCACTCTTTCTGGCGATGATGCATATAGTTTCATTAAACTATCTTGAGTGGATCAGAAATAAGGGGCCGAAAAAGAGACCGTTTGCAGACTTTAAGGACAGAATACCATAATACGTCCCATCTTCAATGGGCGTATAATAAAAATGAAGAAGCAAAAGAACCGGACAGAAGACTTTTCCACCGTGTCACAGCAGGAAGCACACAAGTGAAAATAATAACTTTAAAGAGGTCTTCATTCAATTTAGCTTCGAGGGTCACAGTATGATGCACGCTGACCCTCTGACACGACTTGAAGGGATGGAACAAAACCATCAATAATATAATATCTATTTCTTCTGCATTACTTGTAACGAAAGTTTAAAAAAAATAAAGAAAAAAGGCAAATTGCTTTCTTATAGCACTGAACATCTGTGGGGTGGGGGTGGGCAACAAAAAAGGCTCTTTAAGCTAATAAAAAACCCATTAACCATCATCTCCGTAATGTTCTGTCAGGAAAAGTAATTTTTGCCATTTTCAACACGAGTTCTCCCGCTGTTTCCTCATCAGAAATTTGGCACTCCAGAGTCACAGAAGGATTTGGTTTTTCTTTTTCCTATTTAATTATTAAAATTACTCAATTTCTTAAAAAAAAAAAAACTACATATTTGCAGTATGAAGCCAGGAAATGAAAGAAAATGCTAATGTTAAGTTAAAAAACAGTTGTAAGAAAGAGGAAAATCTGCTGGAGAGTTTCATTTTGAGTCAAGCTGAGCTTTAATTTGAAAGTGTGCAGGTGTGCAAAGGCTTTCTAGTTTATTATTTTCACAATAAAGTTAAGCAGGTTTTTATTTTTACATTTTTAAGCAATTGAGTCCAAAAAGGTTTATATATGCTGGCATTTTATAAATGCGTTGACAATAAAAATAACTGCAGGTAAAGCTTGAGATGCAGATGAGGGAGAGAAGTTTTGAATTTCGTCTGTGCCTCCTCAGCATCGCCACATCTGACTCAGCTAATAAAGATTAAAATCAGAGGTGACTTTGTAGCAGGAGGCTTGCTACGGTAATTCTTCCAATGGCTTTTTCCTCACAGGCAGGAAGAAAAAAAAAAAAGACTCATTGATTCTCTCACCATCACTGGACATACAGCTGAGTGTTTTTCCATCCCCCCACTTCCTGCAAGCATTGGAAGAAAATCCAAGAAAATGGGTCAAGGAAGGTATTCTAGTAAAATGCTTTGGGGCACTGCTGCAGTTTTACCACTGATAATATACAAGCTTGAAACTGAGGTTAATCTCAACAGTTTAACACAAATCAAGAAGATGGACAGGAGCATGCGTTACTCCGAGTCCGGGCAGCTAGTTTTTAACTTAAAATGTGTCTTGTTGTAAATACAACTCTTCTAATAAAAACATATGATACAGTATGACAAGTTAGGAACAGGAAAGTGTAAAAATGTCCTCGAGGTTGTGATTGGCTGCTGCAAGCTGGTAAGGGAACTACCATAATTTCCAGTCTATACAGCGCACCTGATTATAAGCCGCGCACAGTACATTTTAAATAAAACATAATTTTGTACATAAAGCCGCGTATGAGGATAAGCCGCATGTGTAGACATTTTAATTTCAGAAACTGTACACGGCTCCTGATAGAATGTGCAGCACTTGTTGCAGTACAAGAATCAACCACCAGATGGAGTTTCAAAGACTTTAGTTCGTTTCAACACACACACAAACAGCTGATCCTCACAGGTCTTCATGGCAACACCCTTTCTGATATGGGTGTAACGGTACACGTGGGTGTATTGAACCGTTTCAGTACAGCATGTTCGGTTCGGTCCACCTGCGTACCGCTTCTGTTATTTTTTTCATTAATTAAATTTTATTAACGAGAGATTATGCGCCGCGGAACTAAAGTTCCTAAGCGTGTTTTAGCACGGCGCTATTATCTTGCAGCACGCGCAGCATTAGCATTAGCTTCTCGTTGCGGTCTCCTGTTGGGGAACATTATGGCTTTCTTGTTAAAACGCAAGTGCACAAATCCCAAGCTGTGTGTCGACGTTGTTTCACAGAGATTGGATATGCAGCAGCAACACGTCGAACTTGTTAACGCACTTGAAACGACATCATCCGAACGCGAACGTCTCTTCTACAGTTGGTGCAAAGACCGATAGCAGCAGCATTTAAACAATCTTTATCCGGTAATTCAGATCGGTGCAAAGCAATAACACAAGCTGTAGGAGTTTTTAAAACTCTGGATCTACGTTTCTGTTGTTGATGCGCCGGCTTTAAAGTTATTGAGCCCCGCTACGACATCCCATCATGTCAGCACTTCAGCCAAAAAGTTGTAGCAGCACTTTATGATAAAGCTGGGGGAGTGGTGGCGCAGAGGTTAGACTATGGGCTTGTGATCGGAAAGTTGCAAGTTCACCTCCCGGTACCGTCAACATCAAAATGTGGGTGGAAAAGGTGAAACACCCACACCTCCCTCCACCCTCATTCGCCCCACCTGGGCCCCTGAGCAAGGCCCTTAACCCCCACCATCTGCTCCCAAAAAACAGGTCTCTCTTGAAAATGAGTTCTCGTGGCTCATTGAGACTACCTGGACAAATAAATGGTAAATGAAAAAAAAAAAAGAAGCTAAAACTGATCGTCAACAAGCCCTGGACCAGATTAAAGTCCTGACCTGATGATGATGATGACCGAGAGATTCAACCACCTCTTAACAGAAATGATGACCATTCAAGAAGAGGTACTGTTATTTTATTATTATTATCTAATTAACTTTTTTAAATTTAAAATTATAATCTTATCAACTCATTTTTTGTACCTGTTTGTGTTTTATTTCCAGTCTGGGACAGAGATAGAAGCTGAATCTTCTTCCTCTTCAGGGAAATCCACCAGAGATCACCTCCAGCTAAGAAGTCTGTGATGAGTGAACTCTGAACTTTTCCAGGGACCTGTCCCACCTGTGGGAGCAGGTCCAAGAGGTTGTGAGTAATGAGGCCAAATACAGCCACACTGCAAAGTTAGCAAAGCTCTACCTCTTTATTCCTGCTACTGTTGTTAGTGAGTGGTATTCTCCACCGCTGGAGATCATGTCACTGCAACTAGATCTATGATTTTGGCAGAAAATGTGGATAAGTTGGTCTTTTTGGCCAAAAAACTTAAAACTTCATTAGTTAGATCGTAAACAGTCTGTTGCTGCTTATTCTGAATGTTATTAAGATTTTTATTAACATTAGTATAGTTTAAAAAAGTTAAATCTGGTCCTCTGGACATTCAAAAAAACAAAACAAAGCAAATCAACAAAAAATGTAGAAACGTTTCGTCTCTCATCCGAGAGACTTCCTCAGTCTGAGGAGCTGTATTCAGCTCAGTCTCTTAAATAGCACAGTCTCAGAGTGGATCAACCAGTTTTGCTGCTGACAACCAAAACCAGCTGATCACATGCTCAAGAAGGACCATCAGCCTAACAATGGATCATTAGCACACTGATGGCTGTTTACTGTTCACAGAGGGCTGAGTGATACTAGCAATCACAGCATTGTAAGAGGGGGACAGTTGAACCCGGAGGCCTCCACCCCTGTTTAATGATGGACGGTTTCTTTTCACAAAGATGGCCTCCTTTACTCCTCTCTCAAACCATCGTTCCTCTCTGTCCAGGATGTGCACATCTTCATCCCTGAAAGAGTGACCGTTGGCCTGGAGATGAGTGTAGACCGCAGAGTCCTGGCCTGATGATGTTGATCTTCTGTGCTGGGCCATCCTTTTGGCCAGTGGCTGTTTTGTTTCCCCGATGTAGGACTGATCACAGCCCTCCTGACACTGAACAGCATACACAACATTACTCTGTTTGTGCAGGGGGACTGGATCTTTGGGATGAACCAGTCTTTGCCGTAATGTATTTTGGGGTTTAAAAGCCACTGGGACGTTATGTTTAGAAAATAAACGTCTCAGTTTCTCTGATACTCCCTCAACATATGGAAAGACCACTGGTCTGGGTTCCTCCTTTTCACCTGTTGGCTGACTGGAGTCCTGTTTGGGTTTCTTCTCTGCTTTCAGGAAGGCCCAGTTAACTGAAAGCAGAGAAGAAAGCAGAGAAGAAACCCAAACAGGACTCCAGTCAGCCAACAGGTG